TACAAAGCTAAAGATGAGACTTGAAACTTGCAGGGAGGTTTGCTGAAAGGTATCTCAAATCAACTTACTACCTTGATTTGGTGTTCATAAAAAATTGGTAGAGGTAACACGCCCTCCCCCTTGGTATTGCTGAACCTCCCATAACTTATTGTCAGAAAAAATTACTCCAGGTTAAACTGAAAAGCCATTTTTTCCTGTTTACTTACTGTCACGACATAAAAATATATTTTGCTGCAGTTATCAGAAAATGTTATTAATAAAATAATTAAAAATGTAAGTATTTATAAATCAAGTAAATAATGCACATGCATGAAGTGAAGAAACTTTTTTAAAAAGGTCAATTAAAAAAATTCAATTTTTTGCCCAAACAAGAACTGGTACTTAAATTTAGCTTGGAGGCTATAGGCACGGACTGCAACATACAAATGACAACATCTACACTCAAAACAAATAAAAGGCAAAATTTACTCACATAGCATGAAATTATGTTAAGAAAACTAACAGATATAGGATGCCACAGAAGTAAAACATCTAAAGTAAAATTTTAAAAAAGTTTTGAATATCTGTATGTGTACAAAAGCATGTTAGAAGCAAAAGACTCTAAAGGTAACAAACCTTGGAATTAATATTAAAAATCTTTATTCAGATTTAAATTCAGCTATTAGACCAAGACCTCATATAAGATGAAACGGTCTCTCACTGATGTCAAAAACTAGGTGTTGGACTAAACAGAATAAGGCCTAGTTCCATAAAGCAAAAGTAGCATCTGTGTTCTCAGATGAACTAAATATCCTTTTTGCCCAATCTAAACAGAACTAACCTTCAGACAATGTATGGCATTATCAGTTATTCAACATGAGACTGATTATGGATAACTGTTGTGAACTAAACATGTTCAGAATTATTATTGGTATTTAAACACATGCAACCATTGCTGCAAATTCAAGAATTCAAGAGTATAATGCATATGTAGTACATTGTAAGTGTAACAGAAACTTCACATGAAAAAGCATAAAAGCAAAATGCACTTTCCTGTGTATTCTGCATGCTCCTGTCTAACTTTCACCTTTAAATATTGTTCTGCATAAGTACGGGACCAAATCCTCTGCATGTAGAAAATTGAGGTTTGAAAGCTCACCTGAAGAATATATCTTAATAATATGTATTTAGTGCATACTCAAGTGTGTTGGCCTTCTGCAGCCACATCTACAGCTGGCAATGAGAAGCAGTGGACTTTCACTTAGTTTGACCTCACTTCACAACACCATGTTTTCTGGTGCTGGTTCATTACATGCTGTGAGTATTCCCCACCAGAGACAGTGGGATCCCACCTGAAGCAGAGACCACAGCTTTCAACTTCTGTTGAGTATTAATACAGTACTAATACTGTTCAACCTTCTAATCAACTCACATCAAACTAGGCACACATACTGGATAAGCTCTTATAACCTCCTTATCCTACTTCCAGTTTTCCAATTCTGCCTCCCCAAACTCCCAACCCCCTACTGTCCAGCTTGTGATATCTTTTAGAAAAACCTGAGCAGCTGAGGATATTATATACTTATATACACCACTCATCCCTATATTCACGTACACTTTTAAAATCTGGAATAGTTATATACTTATATACTTATATACTTATATACACCACTCATCCCCATATTCACGTACACTTTTAAAATCTGGAATAATAAAAACCAACTTAAATCCATCTAAAAACACTTCATGCATCCTGTTCTTCCCAAGAGTGGCTTTCGGCTCACCCATGCTCCTGACAGCCACCCCTTCTCATACCAGCTTCACTGCATAAACTGTGGCTCGCTTTCTGAAGACTCCTGTGTCTTTCTACTTTTAAAAAAGTCTTTATTAACCTTGTAAAGGCAGAAGTACAGGTCCAAATTAGTTTCGGAAAGGAGAGTGGAGTTACTGGCTTGTGTCAAAGAGCAACCACCACCACTCAGCAAGATGCTAGCAGGAAAACGCTATGGTCACCACCTAGTGTAATGTAACATGTAAGCACGTGAGGATAAAATACATAACTTCATATACTTCTTCAAAGTTTGTTTTGAGAATATAATGATTTATTTTTCAGTGTTGGACATTTGAACTGTAATAAGGTACTGAAGCTAGTGGCCAACACATTTACTGAAACTTTTATTGTATCACTTTAAATTAATAAGCTGAGGTACAGTAACAACTGTATGCTCCTCAAAAATCAGAATTACATTTTCGCATAAAGCAGTGTTAGAAAAATTATTTTTGACATTGCTTTTTAAATAATATTTACCACCTTCCAAAATGAGCTTCCCTGGAAATCAGAGCTGTGGTGGTTTCTATGTTGTAACTTTACTAAAAAACCCCAGTAACAGAAAACAGATTTTGGATACAAATGTATTTGGGGAAATTTTTTTTAGTTTTGTTTTTTCAGATTAAGGCAAATTCCAGTTTCAGTTTACTGTGGTTCTCCTTTTCAATGAACATATCCTATAACAAAAGACAAATCACATAGCACTCATTGTATCTGTTCCTTATATACAAATGTAAGTGTTCTTTTGTCATAAAATGTGATTACAGATTTCACATGGCTCACGCTTCAGCCAGCATTTATTGTTGGAAAGTTTAGTTTTCTAAAAGCAGCTTATCAGACAGGACTTTGCAAAATAGTCCTGATTTTTTTTTTTTTTTTTTTTTTTTTTCCACCAGTAAAAATCCTGAGTTTGGCATATTCTGTAATGTCAGTAATACAAAACCAGCATTTGGTTATTAGTCTGCTGCCATGTAGATGCTTTTTGCTACATTTCCATCTCCATTATTCTCACTGTTTTGTACTGATTCCTGGAAAAGTTCTTAAGACCTTTTAAAATCAAAAGTAATTAACATAGGTATTGCTAAACCACAGGACCTTTAATGATGTTCACCTCTATGTCAGACGTGTATGT